GGTGGCACACTTGTAGAGGTAGCAGCCTTCCGCGCGTCTAGAAAACGACTGTGCGGGTTAGACTGCTCGAGGTAAGAATCAATAGACGACTCGTCGGCAAGGAAAAAAGACATCTGGCTACTACAACTAGAAGCCATAAGGGGAGCCGGATCATGGTCGGCCGGACGCTGACGCCCATGCCAAGCGCGGTCGCCAGGAGAGGGTCGCATGGTTGAGGTTTACATCTAGTTAGAAACAGAAGTTGCAGAAGTTATAGGAACGCGTTTGCAGCTTAGGTGGACTACAAAGGTATTATATATAACTAGTTAATAGTTATATAAATACCCTAATACGTATGTATCGGTCAAAGAGGTTGGAGAAGGGCTCAATATAGTTTGTTAGGGGGGAATCACAGGCGGTGGTGGATGATGACATGAGTCGGTATGTATGTAATATGTATTGATCTTAAAGTCGGGGTCTTCTCCTTTTTGGCTGTATGAAGGTTGGAGCCGTTCCATAAATGGTTGAATAAAGGACACCCCGCATCAGATAAGCTCAGGAGGTTGCTTGAGCCAGCTTGGAGAAACAGTGCAGAGGTACATTGCAAATACAAGTCAACACAGAGTATAACTTTAGTTTTTACTATATTCACCAAAGTAGGAATGACGTACCTATTTGTACACCTCCACTTTTGGCTTGTTGAGTATGTACGAGGATGGTGTACGCGGATGGTGCGATCACTTGCGATCACTTGGGTGTTTGTGAAACTCGAACGTTGGATAGTGTGGTGTGCAGGGACGGTCAGTGCAGTCAGTGACTTGCGGCCTTTCATTAGGTTTGTTAGGTTGGGTTGGGTTAAGTACCTAGGTAGGTACCCTGCATTACTTACATATATACTTGTACATAAGTACATAAAATACGTACATTCAATTTATGAGGTACGTACCTATGTAATGCCATGTCGTCCATTCTCGTCCATTTGCCCCTCAACTTCAACCGCTAAACGGAAATCCGAGAATATACCTGACCTACCTGACCTACCGACCTGCCGACTTACCATTTTAATCCACCCTTTAAATCCTTAACGGAAGATTTACTGAAGATTAAGCGCCCTAGTTCAGCCGTATTCACCATAGAGTCTTGCCAAGATTACATTTACTGTCGTACTGTCGCTTAATAAAATCTCTCGGGCGCCTCTTCATCTCTCGTCATCGCAGCCCAGAACCCGCGCCTTGTATTACGACAAGGCTATTTAACTTTCCTTCCCCCTACCTTCACCACGACTTCCAACGCCACTCCCCCCGCAGACAACCCCCTCAAACAACAGACGACTTTGGAGCTTTTAAGCAAGACTTGTACTGCTGGGGGTATATTGTTTGACCCTACTTATACCTCTCTATCTCGCCCGATCCATACCAAGATGGACGCAAAGAGGCATCCGAGCTCTTTTCAGCAGCTTGAGAAGTTGGGAGAGGGTACATATGCTACGGTACGTGCTCCCATGTATTCAATATACCTAGTGATAGGACATTATTTGTTAACTTTTATGGGCGTAACAGGTCTTCAAGGGACGAAACCGCCAGACAGGCGAACTTGTCGCTCTCAAGGAGATCCACCTTGACTCTGAAGAAGGCACTCCGTCAACTGCGATCCGAGAGATTTCCCTTATGAAGGAACTGAAACACGAGAATATTGTGGCGCTCTACGACGTAATTCATACCGAGAATAAGCTTATGCTTGTATTCGAATATCTGGACGGAGACCTCAAGAAGTACATGGACACTCACGGCGATCGGGGCGCCTTGAAGCCTATGACTATAAAATCCTTCATGTTTCAGTTATTGAAGGGCATTGACTTTTGCCACAAGAACAGAGTTCTCCACCGAGATCTGAAGCCCCAAAACTTGCTTATCAACAAGAAGGGCCAGCTCAAGCTTGGAGATTTTGGGTTAGCGCGAGCATTTGGTATTCCTGTTAATACTTTCTCAAACGAAGTCGTCACACTATGGTACCGAGCTCCGGACGTCTTACTAGGCAGTCGAACCTACAACACCAGTATCGATATATGGTCGGCAGGTTGTATTATGGCCGAAATGTACACCGGTCGGCCACTATTCCCTGGTACGACAAATGAGGACCAAATCATACGTATCTTTCGCATAATGGGCACGCCTACAGAAAGGACTTGGCCCGGCATCACACAGTTCCCCGAGTACAAGCCGAACATCCAAATGTATGCCACACAGGATCTTAGAGCTATATTGCCTCAGATTGACCAGCTCGGGATCGACCTCCTGCAGCGGATGCTAGTTCTGCGCCCGGAGCACCGCATTAGCGCACACGACGCATTGCAGCACCCTTGGTTTTCCGACTTGGCCATGCAACACCAAATGCAGCAACAGCAAGCAATGCAAGCTCAAGCCCAAGCTCAAGCCCAAGCTCAAGCCCAAGCCCGAGGCTTTGCGGCCCCAGCTGTGCCTTCGCAAGGCGTTTATGACCAGGGATATTAGTATTATTAATGGACACTAGGTTACAGTCTGGACCAGCGATTTGTGTCTAAGAGTCTTATCTTTAGATACGCTTAGCACGGATATGGATTATCAAATAGCGAATTGGGTTTATGCTTCATTGTCTTGCGGTTATAGAATAGCCACGACGAATGTGTGGAGCGGTCAGTAGCCGGATTAGCAGGCAGCGAACCTGATGTCCCGATGCAGCACGGAAGGGTTAGGGATAGGCAGGCGTTTGGGCAGTAACGGTCGTAACGCTCATAGATAATGACCGCATTTATAGGGATCGGGAGAAAGATCCATTACTATTAATAGGCACCGAAAAGGATATACCCAATGATTCGAGTCTTCCCTCTGCTGTTGTACACTTAAAGCCAGTGCTGCATATATGTGAATTAGAAGATCGTGCTGACTGTACTGTGCGACAAAAAGGGGGTTTAAGGATGATAATACGAAGTTGCTCGGTTAACTAACTTCGGGCCTACTTAGGTACTTTCCTTGGGAGAATATGATGATGAATATGAATAACTGTTAAGCAATCTCTATAGGTAGGTAACTAATCATTAATTGGTCTTCTCGACCGGGGGGCCTACTATAAGTTACTCTAACATTTCATGAATCCCTTCCAATCAAGATCATTAGTAACCGTAGCAAATGTTCGTTATGTAACCCCTATATCTGTTGCTCATTAAATCTATTTCAAAACTTACTGATATATGATACGCCCGGCTTTAATATCTATAAGAGTAACCGCTTCTGGATGATTTACTTCCTCTTGTTGACTAAACTGTCGTCAACATTACTCTTAAAGCGATCCTCGTCCGGCTCCCCGGCCCACGTCTCTGCTAACCCAAAACCTGGCTCTTCTTCCGGGTATCCCATACTCCTGCGAACCTTTGCCACTTCTTCGCGAACCCTCCTCGCGACCTCGATTCTTAGACCCACGGCTTCCTTGCCGTATTTAAGTTCGTCAGTTAGTTCGCCCATTGCCAGTCTCTTTTTCTCCTTGCGGACGAGTTCCTGCCACCGCGCGCGAAGATCCCCGAATTTCTTCTCGGTGTCTAAGAGTTCACCGAAGGCCACGCGGAACTTGACGGGGAAGCGGGGAAGAAATCGTGGCCATCCCCTGTCTTCGGGCATGACGTGCTGCGGGCCGTCGATGAACATGGGCAGCACGTCGGGCATGGGCTCGCTTTCGAGAATCATGCGCGAAATACCCCATTTGAAATAACGCATGAACATGTTCGGGTGCTGATGTACGCATGCCTCGGGGAAGACATGGATCCAGCTATGCCGGTTTTGAGAGTATATAGACGGCGCGACGTACTGGTCTGTGCCAGTAGTAGTGAATGTCATACCCCCCGAAGTAAACGGATCTGATATGTCATGAGACTCTTCTTGGGGAGCTGGTATCGGAGTAGTGAGCGGTGATGAAGACAGAAGTCGAATCGCCTGGGGAACTGTAGGCTGAAAGAGTCCCCCATGAGGCGAGTGTTTTAACCTATGGGTCGGTAATACTTGGCCAGCATAGAAAAAAGATCCAAGTAGCCTAGCTATATATGTTAGCGGGAGGAGAGGATATATACGAGTGAAGAGATGCGCGCTCACTTATTCTTATAGCATATATCATGGGCTCCCATACCCCATCTATGATTAGATGGATTGAAAGCATAGCTGAATGGTAAAACCCCCCATATTAGAGGATCATCAAGCCTAGGCGACGGATTAATTTATAAGATATTATAATTATGAATATTGAGGTATATGCTACTTACACGCTGACATGATTTGAAACTGATGTAAGATTAGTTTCTCATACTATCACGAGGCCCGTCATCACCCACCAGTAATGAGACCTCTTTGCCTCTGTTCGACATCTTTCCTTTTGTCTAAGACTTCCAAGAATCGCTCTAAACCGGTTACCTCGACCGAGTTTAACGCGTATAAGAAACTCCTTGAGAGGGCCGCAGTTAGGCCCATAATAACGGAAGAAGTTATCCGCCAGGGCAGACTTGGCTGCTGGAGAGGCAGCTTGTTGGGGTTTGAGTTGGACATGTCGACTTCGTGAGACGCCATTGAATTTTGCAGTTAGAACCTAACGGCATAGCAAATAATGATATCTAGTTAAGGAGAGACTACATGATGTTTTGAAGTTTTCGTAGGCGATGGAGGCACCAAAAGAAAACTTGGGTAACGGCGCGAGCGCAAAATGCGTACGGCTACCTATGTACCTAGGTATTGTACTTGAGAAGGTACCGCTCCGTAACTAGGTTAGGTAACACGGAATTTTCGATGACGGCTTCTCGTTACCATCTGCAGGGGCGGGACGATCTTATTGGGTCGGGAGAAAACGATACATTGATAGACCCCTGTAGCTACCTACACTAGGTATAGTACAATACATTAATACCTGGACAAGTACCTAAATCCCTACTTCCATTACGTTAGTATATGTACATATGTACGCCTCGAGCCTTGCAGATACAGACATGTATATCCACTTTATTTAACGTTCGCGACATCTAACGTGAACTCTACTATTAATTGTAGAAAACTAAAAATAATGAAGAGGTATCTTTTATAATTATTTCAAGTACCATATCCAAATCTCCAAGATGTCGCATAGTAAGACCTCCCCTTTCTAATCGTTGCATTGCATTGATAGATCCTCAGGAGATATATCCTCAGATATACCCTCAGGAGATAGTCGGTATCACTAACAAACACATTTCGCCCTAGGTAAGCGGAACACCTCGCGCGCCGTCTTCACCTCCCACGAGCGGGACCTCGCCAAACGAGCATGGAGCTCAACGACGGCACGGCTTTCACGCGAAAGCTTCCTTCCCTTCTCATCCTGCGGCCTATGTCTCGAGATAGCCCAAGACCCTGTGTCATGTGTGCACGGCGACATCTTCTGCCGCGAGTGCGCCCTGAGCAACATCTTAGCCCAGAAGAAGGAGATAAAGCGCCTCGAGAAAGTTCGCGAACAGGCCGAGCGTGAAGCCTTGGAAGAAAGGGCGCGTCAGGAGGAAGAAGCCCGTGAACGCGCCGTTCGCGAATTTGAGATGACGCAGATTGGGCTGGACGCAAAGGCGAGGAGTAATAGCACCAATAAAGACGATAATGCTGCTCGGAAAGGATCAGTCGATAGTCGTGACCAAAGCAACACACCGGCAGCGGCAGAGTTATCTAACGGCAGTGGAAAGAAGCGCAAATTCGAAATAGACGCGGAGGAATTAGCGCGAATAGCACAAGAAGATAGGGCAAAAGCGCGGAAAGCAATCGACGAAGAGAAGGCAAAAAAGCCCGTGTTGCCATCGTTTTGGACACCTTCGATAACACCGTCTTCCAATACGAAGGATGCGCTTCATGAGATAGCCAAGAAGACCAAGAGCACACCCATATGCCCAGCATCGAAAGACGACAGTCCACACACGTATTCGCTACACACACTTGTGACGGTGAACTTCACCGAAGAGGAGGATGGAGGTGGCGAGAGCGGCGGCGGTTCAGGCAACATGAAGAAGCGCATACGCATATGTCCATCATGCAAGAAGGGACTAAGCAATACCTCGAAAGCACTGCTCGCCAAGCCCTGCGGTCATGTCTTGTGCCGTAACTGTGTCGATAAGTTTATGCGACCCTCACGGCACCACCATGATCCACACGCATCAGTAAGCGATCAAGGGAGCTTACGGTGCTATGTTTGCGAGACAGACCTCACGGATCAGAAGGGCAGTAATGATGGGGGTGGTGAAAAGGGCAAGAGGAAGGATAAGGAGAGGATACGGCCGGGGCTGGTCGAGCTAAGGAGCGAGGGTACGGGGTTTTCAGCTGGGGGCGTAAACCAGGTGCAGAAGTCTGGTGTGGCATTTCAATGCTAGACTCGACTGCAATATCATAAAGAATATGGGACTGGATTATGACTATATGACTATGATATTAGAATTAATTCGAGTATAGCAACGAGTCGACGCCCGCTCCCAACACCGGAAATCACACATTATGTATAGCCAGACCTATCCTGCCGTACGCTATGCTTAATACGATATCCGGTATCCCCATAACCCGTTCCCAAACCCAAGCCCAGCCCAAAGTTGAATCATCGTAAACCTCGTACATGATGCGGCCTGCCGTACGCTCTTTTTCGACCGACGCCACCTCCCGACCTTTTGCAAACATGTACCCAGAGATTTACAATTCCCCAACTCCGGGGCCCTGAATGCCCCCAAACAAATAAGCCCGTCTTTTGGAATCCCCCCCTCCCCCCATGTCCGAGTACAGCAAGGAAATCGACAGGAAGGGAAAGGAAAGAGATGGATGAATGATAGTCTCGACCCATTCGTGACGCAGTAGAATAGATTTTACCCCCTTCAGACAAAAGAAAAGAAAACGAAAGAGAAAGCTAGATCGATGTACGCGCAGCAGACAGACACTTGTCCAGCAAATCCCGTACAGCCCATTCTTACAGGCCCCCCTCCCTTTTTTTTTCCCCAACACCCACCCCAATATCAATCATCCTCATCATCCTCATCTAATCAAATCAATAATACTTAACCCCCCTCTGCGTCCTATCAATCATATTCGCCACCACGCTTCCCCCCTCATCCCCGTCGTTCTCAGCGAGGAACGACCGTGCCCCGCTACGCTTCCGCGGACTACTCCAACGGTATCCGTATCCCGCCGCGGGATACGGTGTTGGCGGCGGGGACGGGAGCCGCTCGTATCGGTACCGGTCGTAGGCGTTGTCGTGCCGGTCCCGCAGCGAGTGGAGTTGGTGCTGCTGCGGCGAGGAGGGCGGAGGGGTTGGGGGGCGGCGGCGCGGCGGTAGAGATGCTAGACGGAGGGGGGAGGGGGAGGTGCGCTGTGGTGGCGGAGGGGATGGTTGGCGTGGTGGAGGAGGAGGAGGGGGGAGGGCGAATGGGGATGGGGGTTCGGATTCGGATTCGAATTCGAGAGGGGGTGGTGTTGGCGCTTGGGGTAGAGACGGTGGTGGCGATGGTGGGGATTCTAGTAATGAGGACGGCGGCGATGGCGGAGGCGAGGACATTCGTGTCGGGGATGGTGGTGTCTTAGGCCGGGTTTCAACGGGGGTCTCAATTATAGCCTTAGGCTCCGGCCCAGCTTCAATCCTCCTAGCCTCCGGCGAGCCCCCAACCACGGTCTCAACCACGGTCTCAGTCCGAGTTTCGGTCCTAGTCACCGGCCTAACAACAGCTCTAGCCTCAGTTCTATCCCTAACTCCGGCCCTAGCCCTAGCCCTGCGTGCCCGGATCTCAGCCAAGACGCCCGCGACGACGAAGTATAGCTTAAAGAGCAGCCTGTGCACGACGTCCTTAGCCAGCATCGTGGCCCCGTGGCCCAGGAAGCCCTTAATCAACTCGCCCAAGATACCATCGTACAGGGCCCCGACGCCCTCGGCGCGCGCGATCTGCATAGTGGCACCGAAGACGCTGCTCTTGCCAAAGTCCTTGACCGCCCGTAGCGCGTCCGATTTATAACCGCCTTCGGCTCCGGGGATCCGCTCCGGTGGCGCGACGTTCTCCTTGAAGGAGACCTTACGAGGGACTTCTGTCTTGGGCGATATTGCCTCGTCGAAGGTAACGTGGTGTGTTGTCTGCGCGTCTTGCGTGGGAGCCTCGACTACGACTTCAGGGGCTTGTGCTGCATCCTCGTTCGAGCTCTCGGACGCGGCCGGGATGGGGATGCCGTTCTGCAGCCGAGTCTCGGCGGTTTGGAGCGGGTATGTGATAGTGCTGGCGATGGTCTTGCTGATAGCGGCAAGGAGGAACGTTATGTGTGCGCCGGGGTTATCCCATCTATCGGCCGAGACGGTCTTTTTCTTAAGGAACTCCTGAAGGAAGAAGGTGATACTCGGGTTTAGGGTGAGCACCAGGCTGGCCGAGTATCCGGACCAGAACCCCGCGAGATCCTGCTCCTTCCGGATAGCTTCGACGATCTCGCGGACGCTAGCATCCCTCACCTCCTCGCCGTCGATAAGTGGGACCGGCTGCTTGCGGGCGACCACATTGGCGATCGGAGTCGTGAGGAGTCTCGAGCAGGCACCAGCCGCCACGCCAATAGCCAATTGCTCGAGGACGCCTAACCCCGGCACGGACCTATCGCCTCTCCTCCGGCGACCGCGGCCACCGGCGGCGAGCCCGACGCTCCGGAACCACTCATAGAAGAGAAAGAAGAGGAAAGAGTCCAAGACAGATCTGGCTGCGTCTTGAGCTAGGCCAGTATAGATCGCTCTCGGCCCGCCACCGGAGTTCCAGATCCGCGAAAAGGCTCCGGTGATTCCGGCGTGCGTGGACTCCCGCGTCGGATCCGGAGCTGCCCCGGGACCGGCCGGACCTGTGGGAGTGGTGTCGCCGGCGCTGCTGCTGCTGTTGAGTCTTTCCTCCCGACGAAAATGTCGTTGAGCTTGGAGGCGGGTAATCGCTAGAGAGAGAGGGTAGAGAGTGCATGTCGAGATGAGCGTGCCGGCGGAGCCCGAGACGGCGTGGTGTAGGGCCGGGAGGAACTTGTCTGCTGCTGCTGCTACTACTGCTGGTGGTGGTGGTGTGCCTGTGTAATTGGCGATGTTTGGCGATGGCATGGTTAGTTTCCTTCCCAGCGCTGTAAGTGGTAGAGGGAACAGATAGACAGGGACTATATGATTTATATCTCAGAACAAGCCTTCCGATTTGGGTTCCGGGACGATCTAGAATACAGTATGAGGACAAAAAACAGGACCACAGAAGAATATTGTCAGCAGCTTTCCACACCAACCGAATCTCGGGCGAGACCTTTGTGGTCGTGTATGTATGTTGCCTTGTAACACGACGATGTCTATGGTGCCAAGAGGGGTTGGTCGATAGCTGATCGTGTCTAGGAGGGGACAAAAGCCCACTAGGTTGTATATAGATCATGTAGTCTACCACGTCCTCTACCGTACAACTATTTGTTTATTCGCCATTGGGTCGACGATGTCGCACAAGGCCGGCGGCATATTGTTTGTGTGCTAGTATGTACCTATGTGTTAGACGTGCGTATAGGATGGGTATGAGAGAGGAGACCTTCACGATGTGACCGAGCGAAGAGGGGGCAACTTGAGCCACTTGAACGACGACGTCATGACCAGTTCATAGTTAGTTTACATACATCTATACTATACTACCATACCTTACGTAAGACCTCTAATATATGTTGTGTTCCGCATAGTACAAAAAGATGACCAGTAAAATAGTATAGTGCTCCAACTCCATCCCCCTTTATGCTTACATGCATGGAAATTCCCTGCCCTACATCCTTACCATCCTTACTATCCTTACCATTTCTTCCTAATTGTATATCCAAACCAAACTTCGAGGCTGGCTATCCATAGACGACCCATCTCCAATCCTTTCGCTTGTGGATGTCTACTGTACACATTTTGCGTTATTAAAAAGTCAAATCTGGTAATAAAGGTGTACCCGCGAGGGGCTTCTCTGAAGTCCACATTGTCCTATAGGATGCTGGGAAAAGGCACCGAGAGATTGGCGAGTTTACACGTGTACAGGGTCCTCATGCTCCATCCCGCTGTGCAGCCCTTAGGTTAGGTATACCGCCACTTCGGGCACCGACACGTGTGCCGTCAAAACTCTCAGCCTATCGAAGCAGCTTCTATTCCGAGTCATGCTCTTTATTGGAACTTGATGAGTGGTATCATATGAATCCTAAATACGGCCTATGGCACCAAAAACCTTTCAACGCCGGACCAAAGAGGCAGCAAATCATGGCATACCTGCTGACCTTGCCACCTTTGTATAACGCCCCCCAAATCGCTTTCCTGTTAAACAAATTCAAACCCTAAAACCACCCGCTTTGCTATGGTATCCCCCGATAAACGCCTAATCGTGATGATAATAATGATGATGATAATGACCGGTCCATCCAAATGCATTTACCTAATTACCTGGGTAGACCTTCGTTTGATATCCTTGTTCGATATCCTCATACGATATGCCGCATAAGAACAGTCAGTCCTAAGCTCGGCTTGCTACCGACGGTCGTCGTGAATTGGCTTGCATGCCAAAACTTGAGGACCGTCGAATGCCCATCGCGCCCATCATTCCTAGGTCTGGCTCCCCTGGTGCGTCGTCTAGGTCCATATTCGTATCGGTATGGTTTTCGGGGAGCTTCTGAGCACCAAATCCGACCACCTTGAAAATGTTGGTACGCCCGCCATTGGTTGCCGTGTGGAGCTGTTCACGGAGACGCGCTAGTTGATAAGTCCTCCTAATAGGCTCGAAAACGGGCGGCGGCATGACGGGCTGTGGATTCCATCGTGCTAGCGCGCTCATGACAGCAGCAGTCTCCTCGTCAGAGTCGACTGGTCCGGCATTAGCGTCGTCGTCGTCTTCTAACGGAGCGTTTGCATCCAATGCGGCCTCTGTTACATATTAGTCGTCGTGATTAAATGTCTAACCAGTGTTCTACGTCTTACTTTGTTGTTTTGCCTGGTTCTTCTTTTGATACGCAGCGAGTAGCATATCGTAAGGAAGCGATCGACCGGCAACAGCACGCTTAGCTCCCATACTGTGGCTTTTGCATGTTAAAGACCGCGCACATGGTTGGCCGTTAGGCAATATAACACCACATTGCTTCTCAACATCGACGGGGCCTAGATCAGTTAGACACGACCGACATGGTTCAACGGTAAGGATGCATAGTGGCTAGATACCTTTAGGCTTGGGAACCTTTGGCTTCGGCTCCTCCTTCTTTTTCTTGTTCTTTGGTCCCTTGTCGGCATCACCGTCGGCCTTTCGTTTTTTGCCCTTCGGCTCACCGTCCGGCTTCTTACCACCGACCTTCTTAGTTGCTTTTCCACTCGTTCCTTTTTTCTCGGGCGAACCGTCATCATCATCATCACCACTGTCATCATTCATCTTAGCATCCCCATCCTCGTCGGCTTTGCGCGCTTCCTCTTCCCGCGCTTGTTCTTTTGCTCGTTCCCTAGCCTCCCTAGCCTCTTTTTTGCGCTGGGCTTTCTCTTTCTTAATCCGTAGGCATTGCGCAATATGTTCCTTCGCCGCAGTTTTGATAATGCCCTTTTTGCAGTGTTTACATTGTTGGAGATTAAGATTATCTTCGAGAGGCCGTCCGGTCGCAAAGGTCTCACGGGAGTTTTCGTCTAACTGGTTGACCACGGGTCCGGGAGACGGGACGCCAACGATGACGGAAGGGTTCTCGGAGGGTTTAGATTTCTTGTCGTCTGTATGGTAGAAGAATACTTAGAAGCTGCTGGCGCTACAGAGAGAGTATAGGGTTTAGGCGCAACGTACCATCGGCAACGCTGCCATCTCTCCAATTGCCGGGTTTTAGTTGCTTCGGTACAGGCTTCTTTAGTTTGATTATGCCGTTTGGCCTATCTCGTATGACTTTCTTTGAAGCGACGTTAATTGTACCTTCGTCATCGGGACCTAGAACGTGGGGCGAGCATTCGTGTCAACACGGCGCGCTGCGCAGTCAAGCCTGCGAATTACCACATACCTTTGCGCCCCTCTCCGCCGCTGCCCATTTTGATAGATATTTGACCCTTTTTTCGGTTACATTTATTTGTGCAAGGGTTGTAGGATCGCGCTATTAGCACAGATTAAATAAGAGGTGATGGAAACGTCGTAGGCAGCGACTTATGGATGGTTTGAAGATAGATGGTAGTTGTTGTATGATTGAAGAGGCGTTAAGCTAAGACTCGCGGACCACTTGAAGACGCTCCGATAAGATCTTATCGCTTCGTTAGCTTACCCGTGGAATTACCGCAGAGAGTGTCTCTTGTGCACGGACCCATAAGTTACCAGGTATGTAGGTACTTGTACCTTAGCGGCTCAGTTACATTAGGTACGGTCCTTTATACATCAAAAGACCGAAAACAATTCAAGTAACCTAAACCATTATGCGCAGACGAATATATTATTTGGGGTATTTTTGAAAACCTACGTAATCTTACCGACCTGTATAATCCCATTCGCCTATATGCCCCCCTTAAATATGCCCAGTAGGTCAGCAAGCCAAAATACTTCCCGTTGCTTGGTCACGCCCATAAACGCCTTTCCAGATACCTATACCGCTTATAATCCGAATCTAAACCATTCAATATATCCGCCGTTGGCCGTCCTCCTCTTCTAACTTTACTTTGTGCCCGGCCGCCTCTTTATTTAATTTGGACCGATGCTCTTCCATTATTTCTGACAGCGCCTTTGCGTGTAACATTCCCATCTGCCTCCAAATCACTTGCATCGCGTTATAAGCCCAGTCCCAAAACTCCGGCGGGACGTTCGGAGCGCAACCGGCGACTTTAAGGTGCCAGAGAAGGCTGGGTACTCCTACCGCTCCTGAATTGCCATATCCATCCGCCTCAAACTCTAGGGTAACTTCGGGGTCAAGCGTTGGATGGTGCCAGTGCGAAGGTACACTTATAAGAATATCCTCGGCCAGTCGTTCAATAGTGGTGTAACATTTTACTCTTCGAGGAGCTGGTAGGGTTCGACTGCTCGAAATAGGATATATTTTCATAAATTTGACAAGCTTTTGGTTAGTAAGGATATGAGCCCAACGGTAATGATTCCATAGCCTAGCAGCCCATATCACATTATACTTGTGCCACTTTCCGCGAAAGACCGCTTCTGGCGGATACTCTCCCCTATTTTCCGTAAAGGGAAAAACTTCTAGTAGCCGCCTTTCTAGGCCATCAAACGTATTATCTAATTGGATAAATTGTCGAATAATATCATCTGCGGCCGGACGCCCGTCGGTGTATACCGTGTGCTCGAATGTCGCTGACAGTTGGAGAAGTCGAACCATAGCGAGAGCCAAATCGACAGAACAGCTTTCTGGGACTCCTTGCATCAACTGTTTACAGAATTTTAGGGCCTCGAAGAAACCAGGTGGAAGAGGTGTGCCTGTCGCTTGATATGGAATGAACTGGGATAGTTAGTAGTTGGGCCGTATAAGATATGGCGAATACAATACCATTGAAAATAATAATTGTAATATACCATATACACCTCCATTAGGGGCCTGTGGAAGAGGCAGTACAGATCGCAATACAGCCACTGCCCCATTAACGTGTGTGCTAGCCAAACCCACCGCCACTCTAGATCCTCTACCTTGGACGACCTATATATGGTAAGTGATGCGTGCTTAAATATAATTACTCCTAGGTATCAGTTTACCTCGAATAAAGCGAGCGTTACGACGCTTCGAAGGCGAGCTACAAAGCCTGCAGGATCATTACTTGCAATTAGCTGTCCGGTTTGCTTTAGAGATGCGACGTATTTAGAACGCGCAACTAGATTCATATTCTTGTTTCCTAGCAGGTTAGACAGTCCTGCGAGACCTACAGCTATCATGACGTTCTGGGCGGTATCTGCCCTCGAAAAATACGTCGCTACCTGCTCGCTTGTTCTTGGGGAGTCGGGATGGTTCATAAGATAGCGATTGATGTAAAACTGCAGGCCCTGCTGTTCTATGTTTAAATCTACCTTCTTAGGTATCTTTGCAGGAACAAGTCCGGGTAGCGGCAAGGAACTATTGTCCGGTGGACTATCTGAAGCACTGCTCGACGACTCGTCAGTCCACGCTGAAGCTGCGGCTGAAGTCGAGGCGAAACTTCTGCTTTGCTCAGTAGGAGACCCCGAAGAGCCCCATTGGGCATGGGCTTTTTGTATAACCTTGCTACTCTCATCTCGGAACATAAGTGATAACTGATCTCGATAACCTGGGCATTTCTTGCCCACGCGAATGCATTGTGAGCATTCTGGTCGTTTCTTATCGCACTACAATCTCATAGTTAATTATGGGCCAGGTCATCTATGTAGGTATTACGGTCCCGACCGATTGGATTGATTGAGGTGGATACAGGCGACACAGATGAACCTTGCGGCATCTCGCATACGATGCCGCCTAGTACATCTTGCCTCGGCTGCAGGGCAAGGCAAGACAAGACAAGACAGGGAAGGGGGATGCATGTGTTTGGTGAGGTTGTGAGCGCATACGCACCTTTATACGTCGGGTTCGACAGTTTTGACACCCCTGAGAAGCCTTTCCACAATAAACCATTGTGCGAAAACTCCAGGATAGGCAAGCTGAACTGACAAATCAGAGTAGTGTATTGTCTTAGTTGCGCTTGTCGAGTCGTGTGTCTCCGTAGGTTGGCAGCCGTCGTTGGTCAATATTGCGGCTGGCAGGTATCGAAAAGGGAAAGCAGTTCGTCAAAGTCGTGGGGAACAAGAAGGATCATGATTATGCGAGGACTAGCGGCATTAGTTTTGCTTTTTCTCCCTTTCGTTCGTCACTTGTATAAAAGGATCGCTCGATGCCACTCCGGATCTTGTTAACTTTCGTTCCCAGAACCTCCGAGGCGGATTTTCACCAAGTCCCGGACGGAAACGCTTCACGTGCCTTCGAGATCGAAAATCGGCGGCGGGCGCACGGCGTTTTTCCAACAACGTTCAATATGATTTGAAAACCAACCACCAATAACAGAATATGGATAATATAGTCCAGCTGAGTTGCGATTTTATTTTATATAAATCAAGCTACTCGGTAAGTTACTCGGTACTATGCAAAGAGAGTACTTAACAAGGAGTAGAGCGCTGAAGCTCAGAAAGGGGAACCAAGAGCTGGGTATCCGTGATGGGGGCTCACGGTATTCGGCAATAGTTATACTGTATATCCGACCTCGTCTCGTCTGAGAGAGGCTGAGATGTGAGAAGCGTTGGTCAATTACAATCCTTCAAATTGACCAGTAAGTGACCAGTCCGTCAGTCTAATACCGAATCCGCTCTTCGCCTATGTATCCCGCAGAGGCCACGCATCTACATATTAGTAATACATGTCTGCATGGGTGGGTTTTCCCTCTTTTTTTCTTTCTTGTTTTATCCCTTCTCCCTTTTTTCACGCTTCTGTTTTCCTGTTAGAAATATGCCTAAGGTTATTTTAGGTACGGGATAAGAGGTAGGTAGCTCACCTACGGAGACTTGGGTTGTTTGAAACTCGTCCAATGTCAAAAGAGACGTGAAAAAAATAATGCTACCGAATAGGAACTTCCCCGCTTTCCCTTACATAGACCCAATCGTCAGTTTGGTGTGGGGGTGAAAGGTACATATAATGACATGGGTTTTAACATGGGTTAACGTGGTTTACATAGCAATAGTTTCGGATCAGCCGTGGATCAGAGGTTAAAACATCCTAGCAATTCCGACAGCCCTGAACGGAAATTCCCAGGCAAGAGCAGACAAGACTGAGGTACCCTAGCAGCCTAGGTACCTACATCATAGGCAAAGCCAGGGTTGAGGCTTCTCGGGTTCTATATTCCACACTAGTGAACGTATACATTTGGTAGGCGGGATCCGTTGGTATCCCCGGGCAAGTTGGGTCGAAGTCGCAACGGACATCAACTTAAACAGGTAGGTACATCCATAGAAATGTATCAAATGTTTATCCGCGCTAATTCATAAACCTTATTGATATAGGAAATAGCATCTACTATGTAGGTTAAGTCCCTAGATACCCAGGTGCATATGCTACGTGCATGCCCATTTTGATTAATTCACGTCACCAGCCTCGAGTTTTACCTATTAAAAGCTTCTTTTTTCCTCCTTACATGAATTACCCCAACTGGGCTTTTATTAGGGCTACTAATTCCCGCCAACGTCCTTCCTCTTACATATCAACACTGTTACTCAGCGCGTAGCACACTTTCGATCAGGGCTGAAGACATCATCCAGGGCTTGTGACCGGGTGCTACGTTGCGAGAATCCGAGTGTCATTTCCCAAAGTGACGTAACCCTGAGGGGTTGAAGGACTTCATTGTAAGGTATCAGACGAACCGAGCGAGTCAAGAAAATACTTGGCCAGATCGTTGGGTCTCTTCGGGCTTTTCTCGCATTGCTACCAATTCATCGTCCCACGGAGACTCCAAAACACTTAGCTTTCTGATAACTAAGGCTTTCTCTCAAAACTCTATGAATTCAACGCTTCTAGATTGGCAAAGAAAAAAAAATGCCAATCCTTAAGTCCAATCCTTAAGTGCGAAGAGCGAGGGTATCCGAGCTTTTAATTGGCCCCGTATCGTCTAGGATGTTAGCACGACGCCGAGAGGGGCTTTGAAGACTCGAGTTTGTCACACCCTGGGTCCGGCCCAGGGTAAGAAGGAGATTTTTTCAGACCAAAAACTCCGAACCCGGGATCTTCCTATTGACAGCTCATCCCTGACGGAAGAGGGCAATGCTATCACTTTTATTACTAGTGTATGTTAATGGCTGCCTGGCTTATGTACATGCATGCTTCGCCTTTTCGTTACAATGCAGGTAACACTTCTGCACCTGTCAAATTCTCACGGCCAGATAGGCGATGATCGTGACTGTCAACAAGCCATTCAGTATGTAGTACGCACTACTCAGTCACATTACCATTATGCCCAGCTTCATCAACATCCTCCAGTCGTCCGGTGTCAAAACAAGGCGAACAAGCTAGTTTCGGGAGATCGAATGGTCTGTGATCACAATTTCTCCTTATTTGTGTCGTACATGTCGTACTTCGGAAAATAAACGCGGGTGACAGCGTCTCGTCTAGTTTCAAACAAAGGCACATTGTGTCTTTGTCACACACGCAGCGAATAAGGTGCTCCCAAAGAACTTCAATTGATCATTGGCTGATTTTGCGTCAGGCTATATACTGTATATGTTGGTTAATACGGCAAATAAGACAGGCATGATACTGCCCTTGTTTCTTGTATCCCAAATGCTCGTGTTTGATGACGATAACTGAATGGTTAGCTACCATCAAACCTGTATCAGAACTATCCACACATCCAGCTTGTTCAGTGGATTTGTGCACCTCGTTCTACCTATGATGAGCGCCTGGACAGTATCACTTTTATTTAATCAATTTCTGGGCTTTGTATTGAATCGCAATCATATGCCTTGGCAATATTGCATGGTTTAGCCCTAATGGGGTTGGATATAGAAGTAGCAAAAGAAAAGAGAAGTTGATTGGAAAAACAAGCTACTGTAACCCATCTATTATTTTTATATTCCTTGTAACTCGATAGCCGAGGCCTCGTCGCTCGACGCTTCCCCAAAGCCAACTGGTTGTTTAGGAATTCTAAAGCCCATGAACGGCAGATACGATCCAGGGAAGAAGAAGCAGAAGCTACATACAACTAGGAAAACGGGCAATGTGTCCAAGACGTACATGCTACACAGTGTTAGCCTACAAGGGGATACTATAAGCAGGCTTCGGCCACTCACAAATACTCGTGCTGAGATATGGAGCCGTTTGAGCTTTCGGCAAATTCGACTACGCGGAATATAGACCGGATCTAGGAAGAAATGTCAGAAGGCTTACACTAACAATCATTTCTTAGTTTCTTACCAGAATCAAAATGCAAGATATGTTGACTGCATAAAGGAGGTGTCTCCAGCTTGGGTTTATCTTTCGTGACAACCCTTTGACTAAGACCGACTTCCCTCCGTCCGTCGCCTCAAGCCTCGACAAAAGACTCGCCTCGAATCGTTGCGAAGTAAAATGAAAGCGAGCGGCAATCACTGTGAAAAGTCCAAACGCTGCGATTTGTATCGCGAGGCCTATAAGTGCGACGTTCTTTCCTGTATTTATCTTCTCCTCAGCACCCTCGTCTGTCACTTCAGTACTCGAAACGGAAACGGCGCCAAAGAGCTGAACAAGGAGAGATATTACGTCGAAGGTGACGAAAATAGGCGTGATCCACCGAGCTACAAGGGTTAGTAAGGGGATGTGAAGAAGAGCTTGAATAAGTAGGTACATACGCGGAATCCAGAGGAGTCTTGTCGTTCTTTCTTGGGTGGGGACAACATGAAAAACGATACGGCCAAAGACGACATATATGACACCAGCCATGAGAACAGGGGCAAGAATGATTACACAGAATTGTATCGCGTATAGGTTCAAGTTAGAAGGATTGCCAGCAGACGCAATTCGGACCGCATATCCAACTACTTCCACTATCGTCGACGTGTTAGAATATTTGCAGCCCTATATGAAAGGCCACTAAAGAGCTTACTGAGTATTGCTAGAAGCTGTACCGTCCATACCCAAGATCTTTTCCGAATAGTCAGAGCAGAAGACCAAACAAGAGCTATCCCGAATAGGGCGAGGCATACTCCAGCTACGGCCTCCGACGGATCGTAGGGATAAAAGGAGATATCATTTAATGATGTACCAGATGACATATTAGCGACCTTAATCCAAGACAATTCAAATTTAGTTAATAGGTATATAACTGAAATGGTTGAGTTTTCGATAACATTCGGGTATGTAGTCTAAAGTACAGAGGCAGGAAAAAAGTGAATACATTCAAATTTCCAACATAATCAAATTCTAGGAAGATGCTTCATTTCCTTTATAATATCCCATAGGACTTCTATCATCTATCATTAGGAAGGGCTCCGCCACCGCCATGTGTGACGCCACAGAATGCGGAAGATCGTGAATCCTACCAGGCTTCAACATAACGACTTGAGATCGCCCACCGGCTCGCTTTCGGAAGAGGACCGGTCGCAGATCTCATAGTACTTATATGCTGTCAGCAAATTTACCCCTTCCCGTATTTGATTTTGCTGGTTTATTGCTTACGTGTAGCGACGTTGGGCGTTTTTGCTCATTGGGGCTGGGCTAAGAGCTGAGGCTCTATGGATTCGCTAACGCTGATAACCTTCCCAAGACGGTTATAATTTCCTTGCAACGCCACTCTCGTTATTAAACCATAGTAATCGGAATACTTGCTCTTGAGGATTTAAAGGACTTCCTAGTAATCAAAAGATTTAGGTGTGCCTCGTTTCATATACGAATATTTGCGAGACTTTCATGTCTGCCGAACTTTCTCGTAGCAGAATGTTCATAGGGGGTACAATACTTCTTTACCAGTCTTATTCCTGCATTCAAAATATATAAAACGGAAGAGATTCGCAAAAGGGGCGATTGTTAATGCAGCTTTGCCAGATGCAGGTAGCTATCTAGTAGGTAACTACTTGTTAAGCTATCACTTTTTAACATACTCCCAACCCATCGCCTTCTACGCCAACGAATACACTTTTCTACTTTTAATTATAGGCTTTCGTCACTATTTTCTTTACTTTAGCATGTATAGCGACCCTATAATAGTTAATAGGTATTCACTATCCTTTTAATACTAGTATTTCATTCAACCTTGAGCACTCACCTCAGGTCCTCCGTTAGGCGCGGAATCCCGTAATAGATTGCATGCTCAGCAAACGCAGGGTCTTATAGTTGTGTTAGATGGAACTACCCCATTACAGGTGTAGTTTTGTATCCAGTAGAGTACAGTCACATGCCGCATTTCCCCCGGAGAAAATCGACTATGTCATCTATCCCATCTGGAATCTTATACCAATGCCCTTGCCCCTGGTAGACTTCCCATGAAACGTCGAAGCCTACCGATTTAAGAATTCTTTGAGCTGCCTCCCCATTAGACAATTTGATCCTTTTATCTTCCGCACCATGTCCGAGAAATACCGGCGTAGAAAGCGACGTCCCTCTGCTGATAATATCAGGAATGCCACTGGAATCCAGTATATCATCGTAAAACTCGATTACTGGGAAAATTGGATTCTCTTCTGCTTGGGTATACACCTCGGTTGAGGTAAAGGGGTCTTCATCGACAGGGCTAGCGTCGCTGTCAAATACGAATTCATCGCCTTCGCTTCCTATAAGACCATCGATGTCAGGCTGAAATGGTAACCATCCGCTCATCCCCACGAACCCTCCGAGAGGAAACCAAGATGTAAAAAGGCAGAATAATGCCATTGCACAACCATGACCGAGACCACCCAAGATAATGTTTTGGTAGGGAACCCTTTGACATTCGTCTTTGATTAGATGTGATATTTCCCCATGGGACTCCACAAGCCCCTTAGTTTGGGTATTCGGCCGGAAGAAGAGGTCATCCAGAGAGGCGATGTCGAACCATTGTGTCAACCTTGTGTGTATTATCATGCTTGATCGACGGCGTTTCGCTGTGGGAAATATAAAACGTGCGCCGGGGAATATTTCTGTAAGCTTTTTGCCACCAGAGGTGACGCCAGTCTCAAGAAGTTCTTCCCCAAACTTACGCCCATTTGACCCAAGTCCATGGAGAAGGATGAAGCTGTGGGTATGGTTTGATGTAGGCTCGACAATAAAAGGTGCTGAATGGTTAGTGCCAGGTGTGGTTTTTGAACTCATGGTCTTTCGAGTTGGCATGTATTTCCTTATGAATATTAGGCTGGTGTATGTTAATTGGTGTATGTCGAAGTGTGGGCATTGAGTTCTTATGTCTTTGTATTTATAATAAACCGATGGCAAAACTGAATCTTAATCTATTGTTTTACTTTTGGAGCTATAAAGATTTACTGATTGTGAGACACGGGCTATGAAGAGTTTTCACTTGTAAAAGAAATTGTTTGGGTTTAGTTAGTTTGTTTGTAATTATTATAATATTACTTTTACTATTGTTTTATTAAGCTCTTAGTAGCTACTATGCTATACCTGTATATATCAGACTAAAATTAAAATAAGAGGTAACAAGTTTGAAACGTGAATTCGAAACTTCAGCTACCGAATAACGCACAAGACTACCTAAGCCGTATTATCAACGGCCTTGGTGCGTTATGTAAATATGCATATTTATCCATATATTCGTAGAGCGGGTCGGGTTTAAAGACGTGGTAGCCACATATATAGTGGCTCATATTCAAGACTAATACGAAGTACATAAGAGAGCTTTCATACATTCCATAGCCCGTTTTCATACACGTGGATAGTTCCACCCCGACATCACACTTCGTTTACCACTTCCTCTTATTCTTTTTTCTTAAAAACTTGTAGACTTTTTCTACCATGGTGCCGAAGGTCGACGAAGGCGAGAACCTCGCTCGCATGGAACGCGGGGAGCTCTACTACGCCTTCACTCCGCAACTAATAGCCGAGCGACAACGATGCGCACGTATCCTTGGCCGACTCAACAGCGCTGGAGAGTTAACCCGGCGCGAGATCGCAGAATACTGGAAAGAGTGAGTGGGTTTCGAAACCCTCATTTGATATGTTAGGTACCTATTAGAGTAACACGCTGACCTTTCGGGCAGAATAACCAAGGATGATCGCCCTCTTCCTCCTCCGGCAGCAACAGACGAAGAAGAGGATGCGATCCTTCACGAATACCCCTGGGTTGAAAGACCGATCAGAATGGACTATGGGACCAACGTTAAAGTCGGAAGCAATGTATTCATAAATGTTAACTGTACTATAATTGATACCTGCACGGTGTCAATTGGGTCACGAACTCTCGTCGGTCCGAATGTATCCTTTTTTAGCGGGACGCACCCCCTGGATCCGGATCTGCGCAACGGCACCAACGGGCCAGAACTCGGCAAGCCGATCACCATCGGTAGCGACTGCTGGATAGCCGGAAACGTAATAATACTCCCCGGCGTGACGGTCGGCGATGGGAGCACAATCGGTGCGGGAAGCGTTGTGACCAAGGTAAGCAAAGCCTAGGCCTGCCGCTACTGATAGATTACAGTCGGTCTAATTGTGAATAATTATCTGCATATAGGACGTCCCCGCTTATCACTGCGTAGCTGGGAATCCTGCTAAAATACTTCGCAAGATTGAGCGAAAATTTAAAGCCGAACAGGAGGCTCTAAAAAGTAAGCTTGAGACACCCGAGTCGTAAACTCGGAAACGTTAATGGAGGCTTGTAAAATAAACCTTTTCGTATAGATCGTAATCCTAGGCCCGGATGGGTGCGATTAAGTAGTTAGACTTTTATTGAGCCAATACAACCGGAAGATGTTGTCGAATTTCTCTTCCAAAGGGCTATATATTTATATGAGCTTTTGGCCAGTGAAGATGAGCTATAAATCCTGGCCGGTCGTGTAAACGTTTCTCGATATCTTCAAGTACCGGTTTCGCCCATCCTTTCACAGACCAGTTAACCCGCTCGGTGACGTTCATGAACACCAGAAAATGTGCCAAGAGAACTAAAGCGTGTGGGTCAAATGATTCCACGTCTTTGATAATTGTTTCGTCGAGTATGCATGACCACCAGATTACCATACCAGGCTCAATACATGAGCCGCCATATGCTACAAGTTTAGTATATGTTTCTAGCCCATCGATAGCACGGTCGTAGTGTTGTGTCTTAGAAAGAGGTAACTCTCCCTGGAGCAGCGATCGTAGAGAAGATAGGATGGAAAATGTATCTGGAGGAAGCATGGTATACTCAAGAGATGGGACGCTATTACAAGATTAATCAAAACTGTACCTAGTGGCCAAGAAACGGATGCGTAGATAGCTTTTTTCTTCTTCTCCTTCAGGAATCCATATGCCATGAACTACTGGTGCAAATTCGGTTTTTGCTATTAAATGAATGAACGGTTCAAGAGTAACACGCAGCCCCCGAACAACCGTAAACAGCTCCAATAAGTTGTGAATAGGATTCTCAAGCCTCATATCATCCGCCCTTAATGGCAGTGAGTAGACATAAACTATCACGATAGTAGCAAAGCAGAATACAGCTCTCCAATTGTTGTACGTAATGCGGGACAGTATGGCTCTGAATCCACTTAAGCCTTGGGTTTGATAGTGGGCTGCAAGAATTAAATAGACCTGCCGTTGGCTCGGGTTCAAATACGCTTTATGTATGGCTGAGAGGGCGAGAACGCCATGTCTGACAAAGTTATATTGGTAACCAACTTGCGGCAGGACAACTTTCCAGATGTGGCATCTATCTAGACGTTGTGACAGTGAATCGGCTGTGAGGGTGCAGTAGTGGTGCAATAGTTCAAATTCTCGACATTCGTCGAGTCCCGACAGGGTTGATATTGTGGAGCTGGGGTTGGCTAAGATGCCAAGATTAGTAAAAGTTGTTTGCGAGTCCGTGCCTAGAGAGCTTGTATTATCCGGTGATCGAGAAGACAAGGCTTCGATGGGCAGGCGAACAGGAAGAGGACCAGCTTTTGGGGGCGTAAAGCTGCAGCTGGCGCCGTATCGAAGACAATTTGCTAGCACAAGTCGGACGCGATTCGTCGCACTATGTAGGTAGAATATTAATATGAGCGGGGACTACATAGTATGTGTACATGGCTGGGTATATGTCAATGGATGTACCTTGATTTTCCTCTGCTTACAGATGATACAACCGTTCCGAGACTTCGGATGACTTCGTCTTGTAGCCATATCGGAGCGCCGAGTACGACGGTGGATAATGAAAAATAGATGGTAAGAAAATGTAACTGGCCGTTCGTTTTAATCAAAATACGAATTATACGAATTATGCCGAATGCAACTCGGAAAAGCGCTTCTTATTGGATACTATTTATAGCGTCCGAGGAGTCCGAGTTGTATTGTACCATAGCTCATCTTATAACTAGTAGATCCATATCCCCAAACCAATGTATAAGTGTATACGGATGACCCAAAACAGACAACTCTAATATGATTAGACAGGTATCTAACTCACCTTGTTCTTTCGAAGCTAGAAGCTTACGCGTTCTCAGCTTCTAATGAGCTGAGTTATCCGAGACTTCTACGAAGAGAAGCACGAGATAATACGAAAAGAATATGAATAGGACAACAGAAGGAATATATAAACAAACTCTTGCAAATATGTATTCTGTAGTTCTAGAAATAGACCCTATTCTAGTCTTAAACCCATAAAACAATTTCAATCATTTATTACACTTTTAGTCTTATTCTCCAGACTACCGCTCGCTCTATACTAAGCTTCTGGATATCTAATACTCTTATACACTCGGCCTAATATCTCTGACCAAAACATTACACCACCCTCGATGGCTACTTGCGGCAACCCTAATTGGCAGGACGCGCAATGGGCTTTTTATCGGTATCAGCCTTCAGCAACGGCGGCAGCTGTTTTCAGCGTACTCTTTGGCATCACTCTTGTCACCCATGTCGCCCAAATATATATAACGAGAACTTGGTATCTCCTTGCGCTCGTCATTGGATGTACATGTATGCAGTTCCGATCATCTTTAGTCTATTTCTGTGTTAACCTCCTTGTCGTAGGTGAATGCATTGGTTACATCAGCCGAATTATAAGCGGCCAAGAGGATCCCGGATGCTGGAGCCTCGGTCCTTATATCATACAAAGCTGCCTCATTCTTATTGGACCGACACTCATGGCTGCATCGATCTATATGATTCTTGGTCGTATCGTTGAGTTGACGGATGGAGAGTCATACGTCCTCATTCGACGACGGTGGCTTACCAAGGTTTTCGTCGGCGGGGACGTTATATCACTATTCTTCCAATCATCTGGTACGAGATTTTCATCACAATCTTTCGATGAACGTAATTCGTTAACTAGATCCTTATAGGAGGCGGTTTGATGGTTATAGGTGGTACTACCAGCACCATTGGCAAATATCTAATTATCATTGGTCTTTTTGTGCAGCTTGCTTTCTTTGGGGCCTTCGTCGTCCTCGCGGGCGTTTTCCACCACCGAATGAGTAAAGCGCCTACTTCTCAAGCAAGTCTCCCCCAAGTTCGCTGGCAGCACTACCTAGTTACACTATACGTGACAGGTGTTATGATTTGGGTGCGGAGTTTGTTTCGAGTTATAGAGTACCTGCAAGGCAACGAGGGAACTTTATCCAGGTCGGAGGTATATTTATATGTCTTTGATGCCGCATTGATTCTCATAGCAATGCTTTGGATGAATTGGTACCACCCTAGCGAGATTGGTGTTCTCCTTCGGGGACAGGAACCAAAAGAAAATGGAATAGAACTTTTAGCTGGGGGATTTTCCGGAATGAAGCAAAGGCGCAGAATTTTAGATCCGGATGAGAAATAATAGGTAAATTCGTTAATTACCAACTACCATTAACTTCGAAAATGCACTTGAGTTATTGTCAGGATTCTAGATGAGACATTTAGGACAAAGAACATGTATGTATATACGAGCTGTAGGCTCGCCAGATAGGTTAGAGTTCCTCGCGGAACAACGAAGTTGTTTCCATGCTGTTTAGTTCCACCTCGTGACAACATCATAGATATTAAATATCATTTTGAGAACTATACTTGACTGCACCAGGGCCGGCATTATGGGTTTCTGAGGCTGTACAGCTGCAAGGATTCTCGGGTATCTCGCATAATGCCACGAGGAACCCGAGAAAGAGTTCTGACTGGTTCAGCGCCTCGATATCCGAAGAACTCAGGGGCTTTCGATTTTCTAACGAAATAGTACTAAGCTTTAGACCAAATCAGTTTTATATCCTTAGGAATTGGCTTAGGTAATGTTGACTCTTAACGCAAGGTTAATATTATAAAAGATTCCAGGTTACCTAGTAGGTAGATACTCCTTTCTGATGCTTGCCTTCAAATCCCATCTCTAGAATTGCGATCTATTATCACTACCTAGTTACACTTGCATCATCGTCATGTACTTAGGACCTCCAGTCTATACATAACAATACCATGGGAAAATGGGAAAAATATGAAATCAGGGGTTCTCGTTAGGGTTAGTTCACCTAGTCCACGAGCTACCTAGGTCGTGGCGGAGGTAGATAGCCAAAGTATACGATCAGAATAAATTTACCGAGAAACAGGACAATATAGCACCGGAGTGGAAGCTGTCAGGCAATTATCAGATTTTATTGAGTACTTAGGTAGCTATTGGCCTAATATGACAGGGTATCTGACAGCCGTCACGAATTGATTTCTACATTCTGTGAATATCATAAACGTTCTATGATATTACCTACTGCTTAAGCAGGTACCTTGGGTTCGAGATTAAATCTCATGTAGTTTTAAAACCAACGTGATAGCTATGCTAGCTACCCTATTCGACTGGGAACACTTCGGGGGTTCATCTTGTTTGCCCTTGCCATATGTCCTGGTTAGGATCCTAGCGGGCGGCATCAGAGTTCCTTTCTCATAACTCACACTGCAAATGTTTCAAAGGCTGGTATGGGCTTCGTTTAATAAATGCAAATGCAGGTCGCGTGCCTATATTCTATCAGTACCCGTAGTTACGCTTCAATAATAAGAGATATCACAGTAGAATATTAAACACTTACTCGGATATCAGAGTTCTAACAAAACCATTTGGTTATATTATCGCCATCACCCGTGCCTCACCTAACTAGAGAGCTCAAAAACTGGAGTACCGTGAAGCTCTCCGTGGGAATCATGCAACTCTGCCATATCTTTGCTATCTAACGTTACTGTATCTTGGCTTTGCTCATAGTCACTTGAATCTTCAGTAGATTTTCGCGTACGACGTATGAAGCATACGACCAGAGCTACTAGCATGATACTGAAGAACCCTCCTCCCAGGCTTATCCCTACTATCTCGCCTATGCTCAGAGTTGAGCCTGAGGAATCAGCTGGATCGTCATCCACGGTGATGCTTGGGTCCTTGGAAGAAGACGCGAGTGGCACTGGAGAGGCATACGATGAAGTGACCGACGTGTCCAAACTTGTTGGGATGGTGTGCAATGAGGATGAAGTGCTAGTAAATGGATGATCGATTATCAAGTTGGTCGTGCTTTGCAACGATGGCGGTGGCTTGCTCTGGTCTTCGTCCATGTAGCAAAAGTCATCGGGTCCACAATGATAGCCCCAAGGACAGCAGCCTGTGCCACATTTTGGTAGCTTTCCCTCCTTGACTATGGTCTGGACACTCGAAAAGGAGTTCTGTTGGTCCAAATTGCAAGCGATGATATTGATTTCTTGACAATTCCCACTGCTTGCCTTTGGGCAGCATAGAACTGTTGTATTGGCCGCAAGGACGATACAACTAGTATCTATAGTACAGTAGAAATCTGGCGGAGCAGGCGGGTCGCAAGGACTGTAATAAGTCTTCTCGCTGTCCATGGTGTCTTTCATGTTGCTTCTATCTGGGTACTTCAGTTTGGGGATTCTAGGTGGTTTTAAGCTTGGAAAGCAGAGAATGGCGTAAAGAAGGTGAAGTTTGAAAAAAGGGAATCTTGGGAGATTTGTAAAGAGATTATCTAAGGTACCTAGGCTACTGTCCAGGCGGAGGGCTACATACTGGGGATGTAATACACGAGATGGCAGATGGCAATAAGTACTAGCTTGAGTCTTCCTCGACGCGCAAGTTTGTTAAAGAGTACCTCTAATTAGGTACAGACAGCAAAATTGATCATGGGCTGCCAGCTGCTATCAGGAACAACCCCTGAAGTTAGCAAACTTGCAAAGCATGGACCTTAATTACCCAACTTCGCACGAGTCACATAGTACTTATGTATTTCTTATTTTTTACAAATGTTATGTTAGGTACCTAATGCATTCCTTTGGCCGACAGGGTCCTTGATTACCTAGGTAGTACTTTACATACTTGAACTGTGTCGTTTGATTAATCCCCTGACCTGTCTGGGTACCTAAAAGCCAGTTATCCAATGAAGTATTTCATCTCTATATATTTCTTTATCGATAGAAGAAGTTTGGAGTTGAAAGATGTGTAATGATTACTAAGTTAGAGATAATATTTACGATACGTACCCAGTCGTACCCAGTATGCCTAGACTTTTATATGGCCCGAGCTTGGATCTCAGATGGAAAACTCGAAGCCTTGTGGGGTTTAGATTAGAACTCTAACCTAATGAGGACATTACTTAGGACTGAAGGGAGGAGGAAAAAAATAAGGAAAAAAAGGAAAGCCCGATAAATATCCGGCACGGTGTTGCAACCTCCAATTGTTTGGCAATTTTCCAATTAGATGGAGCCCATTCTCTCACGAACTGTGAAGACCGCCCACGGCCAAAAAGAAAAAAAAAAGAAAAACAAAACAAAAATTAGCGTTCCAGTTTCATCAGTGCCAGTTGCCCGGTCCAGTAGTTCGACCTAAACTCCTAGTCCATACCCTAGGTATATACCTAAAGTCTAGCAGAACAGAAATTATTCCGTCGCCACCCAGGCTTTCTTCCATTCTGCAAAACTTCTATATAACACTGTCCATATCTCCATCATATTCGTTATCGTCCATCGTCCTTTCCCGCGCGGACTTAGATCTTTCCCCCCGCCCGTCTTAGTCCGTTTCGATACCCAATTACGTTAGCGCGCCGCTACGTCCTACAGAAGTACGGAAGGTAATACCTAACAGTAATAATAATAATAATTATTATTGCAGTATTGCAGGTGCTACCCGCCTTCCACCCACTACCTAAGGTATACTTCGTACCTACCTTCTCCGAACCCGTCTAAACAAATCTCCAAATCATAATCGCATCCAACAAACATTTCTCCACCACAACTCTAATAAACCTTCCTCCATTTTATCCATCACCCACTTCTACACATACACTTTTACAAATCTTTCTTTAGATTCTGACGAACACCCCTTCCTTCCCCGCCATTCATATTAAAAACAAAAAAAAAAACAAACCCAAAAAAAACCACATCCCCCCTCTACCTTCACCTGTCATTATCGATTTAGTTCGATTCCTCCTCCCACCTAATCCGGACTGTTCCCTGCTTTGTCCCTCGCGAGACACATTTCGTCCCGAGATTTTCTATCGCGCCACTGAAGCAGGTACAAGGTCTTTAGGTTTCGCTTAACCGTATAAGTTGCTCGTAGAATTAGCAGCATCTCTAATAAGAGGCAGCTTTTTCATTATTGAGCACCCCTCTTCTTGACCTTGTCGATAAGATCCGCTTCTACCCAACCAGGCGCGCAAATTTCTTCACAACCTAGCGCAACCATGGCGACAAACGGCAACGTCAACCATACCGACCAATTCTCGGGAGGTCCTACTGCCACAGCTTCCGGAGGTGTTGCTCCTCCTGCCGACCAAACAAGTACCACCAGCTCCAACAACAATCTAGGAAAAGATGAAGTCGCCTGGTTCTTCGTCGAGCAGTACTACACTACCCTTAGCAAAAATCCGGAGAAGCTTCACGTAAGTCCCAAACGCATGCTATATTTATTAGAACGAGGTTTACTAATTATCTACCTAGCTATTCTATGGAAAGCGCTCTCAGTTCGTCTATGGTCTAGAGGCGGAGATTGCCAATGTTTCTGTCGGTAGACAGGTATGTTTTCCAATGGTTACGCCATGCCTACTAATTCTGTTCCGTATTAACGCGTTTTTATAGAACATCCAGGAGCGCATCAAGCAGCTAGATTTTCAGGACTGCAAGGTCCGTGTCTCCAACGTCGACTCTCAGGCCTCGTACGACAATATCGTCATTCAGGTGATTGGCGAGACTTCCAACAAGGCCGGCGACCCTAAGAAGTTCGTCCAGACTTTCGTCCTTGCCCAGCAGCCGTCGGGATACTTCGTTTTGAACGATATTCTCCGATACATAGACGAGGAAGGCGACGAGGAGCCGGCTGAGACTGCCCAGGAGGAGCAAGTAGAGCCTGCGGCCCAGGCTGCCCCAGCGACTCAGGAGGAGCCGGAAGCACAGCCCGCGGCACCTACCGAGGAGCCTGTGTCATCCGATGCGGGCGTTGTTGACAAGAAATTGGAGGATGTGAGCGCGACCCCCGAAGACAGCACTCCGACCAACGGTGATGTAGCAGCCGAGACGGCCGCCAGCGAACCGCCAGCGGCTCCAGAGCCAGCCAAGGAGCCGGAAGCGAAGACTGCACCTGATCCCGAAGAAGAGACGACTCAAGAGATTGCGGAAGAAGAGCCTAAGGAGCCAGAGAAGCCTGCTGACCCAAGCCCAACCCCTGTTCAAGTACGCCAGCCCCCCGCAAGCACTACAGCAGCGCCTGCAGCTCCGGTTCCAGCTCAACCGCCCAAGCCTATGACTTGGGCCAGCCGAGTAGCTGCTGGTGCGGGTCCCCGACCTGTAGTGCCTCTTCCGACGAAGCCGGCAACTCCCGCAGCCCCTGCAACAGCACCGCAATCACGCCCAGCCGCACCCACCCAGTCGGCAACAGCCCAAGCACCCGCTCCGTCCCAAAGCTCCGAGACCGCAACCCCCGCTACGCCTGGAAAAGAGACATCTGCGGAGTGGCAGACAGCTGGCGGCGACTCGAAGCGACAGAATAGACCCCAGTCGATTTCTGGACCCCAGACCGATAAGGATGGCACTATGGGTTACGTCAAATACGTCACGGACAAGGTAAACAAGGACGAATTAAGGGCAGCACTGGCACAGCATGGCGAATTAGTCTACTTTGACATCAATCGCCAGAAGGTAAGCCGCCATACCATGCTCAAACTGTGGTATATAGTCTAATATTTTGCAGAACTGTGCCTTCGTCGAATTTGCTACACACGCAGGCTATCAAGCTGCTGTGGCTGCGAATCCTCATGTGATTGATGGAGAAAGCATCGTTGTGGAGCCCCGCCGTCCCAAAGCAGGGGCTTACGGTGGCAGCAACTACAGTTCAGGGCGGGGAAATCCACAGAACCGCCCGGGAGGACGAGGAGGATTCGAAGGGCGGTCTGGCAGCCAGGGTGGAAGAGGTAGCTTTGGAGGACAGGGTCGTGGTAGGGGCGGTGGCGGTGCACCTCGAGGCCGAGGTGCCTCTCAAGCTACGAATGCATGAGCGTCCCAGTGTTACGGTGCGAGGTCTTACGAACTTTAAGTAGGCACGGTATGCATGTGGACTCGGAACTCCTAAGGAACCCGAAGTTGTCGCTGCCATACCTTGGAAAAGCGTTAGACGCAGGATTTTGGAGTTTAGAGGCGGGGTGGTTTATGACTTGGACTCGAGCCTACACGGGCGTCTCTCGGAGGCGTATTCGAGTTGGTTTTAATTTGAGCACGCATATATCATTGCACCGTCATCCCTTTAGCTAATTGTTCCTTCTTCTGCTTGAAGAGGGGGTTTGTACATTGATGGACGGCTGGAAAAAGTTGGCATTCATCTGCATGGGAGGAGTGAATGGGTGATATTGGGAAATTCAAGGGGCCACAGATTTGTACAGTTGTACAATAGGGGCAACGCGAAAAGACTTTTTTTTTTGAAAGAAAGAAAACACTGTGTACTACCTAGTGTAATGCTACGACTGGATGACTGGTGTTAATGGCGGTCTTGATCTTGCGTCCTTAATTACCTAGGTAGTCATGTGTCGGTGCTAGATATAGATAGGTATATACCTAAGCTAAGAAGTTTCTGTTAAGACAAGTTACAGTATTATATTGCCTTTTTTTGGAAGATAAGTACTAGATTTATCTGATCTCAAAATTAATATAATTCTGTTCAATTCCAAACGCCGTTTCACGAGGGCCAATTCAACGGGTAGCCTCCCGAGCCGTGATAGGCGGATATTCTTGAAGGAGGCTGTTAGAATGTAAGATCTATATCAGCCAGATAGATACGTGCAGCTTCGATACTCATGTCTGCTCGCTCCTCCCGTCTCGTTGCATGCCGCAATACGCGGGCTGCCGAAATTACGCAGATCCCCCCGTCAGCTGCCCTCCTTTGCCTCGAGCGCGTATACGCGTCCAGCCGCATCTATTTTGTCATATTGGAATACCTACGATCTATGGCGATGTATATGTACGTATGTACCTTGTATAAAATAGACAGGACAGACGTTCCTAAGAATGCCGAAGGATAAAGATGCAATTACAAGAAACGAGGTCGTAATATCAGCTCTAATAGACAAGTCTGCAAACATGAGAAATATACCGAGTTTGGGGCTAATAATCGTAAAACAATATCTCGCGTACATAAAGCATAGCGATTATGCATCAGGGACCCAAAATTCTGGTCAGTTCAATGCGGTATAAACCAGACCAGTCGCCCTATACGCCGGAACACCGTGTCTATGCATCATCTTCCCACCCCTCAGGACTCGTAGGCTCAGAACATAAGAAACTATGCTTTTTCACGGCTCGGCCATCTCGGCTTCCACCGCCCTCGTCTCTTTGGCAAGGTCATCTACAACATCATCCATCTGGCTGTTAGCACCGTCGATGTCTTCGAAAACCTTCTGCAAGAGCGTCATGAGAGACTGCATCTCGGCGCGCTGCCTTTGGATATCGCTGAACAGCTTTGCGTTATGCGCTTGTACTGTTTGTAGTTTTGCGTTGAGTTGCGATTGTTGTTGCGCCAGATGCGGCGCCAGATGGGCTGCTAAAATCTGATCCGGAGGGAGCATGTGCGGTCTTTGCGAGTTAGCTAATGTTTCATCAATAAATAGAATAAAAGAGAAATCCAAGATAAAATAAGATAAATAATAAGTTTGACGGAAAGACGAAAAAAAGAAGAAAAAAGAAGAAAAAGAAAAACGTACAACACCGGGGATTCGCTGGTCGTCACCGACCCAACTACTAATCCGGCGGTATCCGGCTTGTCTAGGGGAGAGCGGACGGGATCCCGAATTTTCCAGATCCTATGGTCGTACGTGAAAGAACATAGTCTAATGGCGACTTATATGCGTAAACAAAACAGAAAGTAGAAATATCCACCACTTACGGAACAGGCGCCTCCGACCCAACCACGCCGGCGTCATCCCTCCTGCGCTCGGCCTCGCTGACCAGGCTCTCGAGCTCGTTAAGCTTAGCCACCACGTTGCGGCCCTGCAGCACGGAATCGAATTCTTTCTGTTTGTTGGTGGGATGTGATGTAAGTATTTATTTATTTATACCGTCTCATCGCAGCGAAACTCAACTCACTCACCTTACACAGCGCACCCAAGCGGTCCACCATCTGCTTCTGGACGGCGCGCAGCACGGCCGGCGCCTGCGCCGCGATGGTCGGGTAGCAGGCCGCGAAGTTATCCCAGCTGATCTTGGACAGCGTGTGCGACAAGCTCGAGTCTAGCACCTGCTGAAACCGCGACGCTCGCGGCCCCGGCGTCAGCGCCGTATGTCTCGCCGGTAGCGGGGGGGATGCCGGCGCTTGCTGAGAAGCTGCTGTTGCTGCTGCTGCTTCTTGTCCGCTTGCTACTGCTGCCATTGCAGTGGTTGTATCTCTTAGTTGGAGAGACAATTCGTCTACTAGTTAGGTAACCTATAGGTTGATACGTTGGCGTGCAATGGTATAAGACTAGGTAGTCTTTATGTACCTAAGGTATGGAGGATGGGGATTGGATCACATGAAAATAATTAAATATGATGATAAGTTTTGGTAATACTGATTAGATACGCGCGATTCCATCTATGAACCCGCGATTTTGGGTTGCGGTAGCTTATCGATACGTCGCGACCGCACGTGTATTGACTACCTAACGTTTAATATGCTCTTATGAATTGCCCACGCGGCATCGTTAACCTTTACGTTTAAATTTTAATCCCAAATTTGCATGTTGAAGGGAAAAAAAAAAAGAGATTCATAAATGATGCAAGTCCATTTCATTCTATTCGGGGTCATACATATTGTCATTCTGTTAGGTTCGTCCACTACTGTACAATTACACTAACACATAAAAAGGAAACGATGGATCGGATATCGTGGGATATCATGCAAAACATCACCCACACACTATCATGAGCCCTAACTCTCTCCAAACGTCATTATCTCCCGAAGACAGAAACCTACAAATATATGCTGCCCCTTGAAATACATGCATTTTCATATACCTGTTTAATCATCAAAGTAGACGCCAAAACTCCGAACAATGAGTCTAAGAGATTATAAAGAATCGCTAGGATGCTAGTCAAATTCGACGGTATCCGTAGGTCTCTGATCTCTTCGCTCTTGACGTCTTCTTCGTCTTCGATCTGCAGCTGATGGAGCTATTGAACCTGAGGGGCCTGCTGGAGAAGGGGTTATCGCACTCCACGTCGCACGACTTGCCGCCGGAGTCTCCAAGCTGGAAACGGTCGGTGCGGTTGGGGGCGGTCCACCAGAAGGACCTGGCTGGCCAGAGTAATAGGCCGAATCTTTTCCCCCTCGTCTTCCTCCAGTAAAAACAGGCGTTGGTGGCGACATTGATTCGGAAACCAGTCCCTCCGCTGCGGCTTCATGCGCGGTCCTCTGAGAACTAGAATCGCGTCGGTATCGTTGACGGCTGGGAGGTGCTTCGCTCTCCGAGAAAGTACTAATGGAATCCGATCTACCCCTGTGGCTACGTCGGTTTTGCGCCGCCGCTTCTTCTTGTGTAATACGTCGTAATGTGATGTTCCTATCTCGATCATCGTGATATTTCACTTTCACGCTTACTGGCTGACTGGAAACTTGGCTATGATCCCTTCGGTGGCGATTTTCTTCCTCTGCGGCGAGACCCGCAGCGCTAGCTGCAGCCGCCATAGCAGCTTCTTCGGCATCTCTACGACGACGGGAGTCATCCCTTCTATGTGTCCCATTTCCAGCAGATGAGTAAGACTCGGTGCCTGATCCCGGACGCAGGGGGTGAAGAACTCCGTGAGGGTCTGGTGGCATTGACGGCATCGAAACCGGGTCAGTAATAACACTCTTGGATCTCGATCTTGACCGGGAGTGTGAATGCGAGTGCGAGTGCGAGTGCGAATTCGAATGGGAACCAGGGACAGTGACTGGCACTGGCACTGGAGGTGGAGGTGGACCACCTCGCGCGCCAAGGGGTGGCATTGGTGGTCCGCTAACGCTCGTTCCCGGAGGACGGTCCTCCAGCATTGATGATTCCGTGTCGTATGTCAAGGTTGTGGCGGTTGGAGCGGTAGGTGGTACCCGACGTCGTCCTGATTTTGTTGGCGTGCTGTATCCATCGCCTGTGTATTTTGACCCGCGATGCCCGTCCCGTCTCTCGTCTTCCATTTTCCGTCGTTCCTCATCCGTTTGGCCATCTCCCCTCATCTTCTTGGCCAGCCAACCTAATCCGATGGCAGCAAGAATGCCTTTCCCTGCTTTACTCTCCTCATCATCAATGGCTCGTCTCGACGGACTCACGTATGACGAATAGTCTGAAATATAACTACTCTCCGTAATCGGCGGTCGAGGATGGGATGCGCGCGGTGTCATAGGCTCGGTACCACCACTTAGAACTGTAGTGGCGGCAGGATGACCAGGGCCCGGTAGTAGTGGAGTGTGCGGTCTTGGGCGAGCGTGAAGCTCTGTCCGATCCTCGCTAAATTCACTCTCGGTATACCCGTCGGTAGCACTCTTCCGGACCCGGCTTGGACGGCTAAATCGACTGGGCGTGTCGGTCGCGACCGCTGAGTATTCTTCGTCGCCGTATCTTCGCTTTTCTCTTTTATCTCGGGAACCTTTAACCAGCACCCCAGCCCCAAGAAGCCCAGCTAAGCCAATCAACCAATTCGATATACCTCCTTCGCGGCGATCGGACCTATCAGAGACTTTTTCATCCTCGAAGTAGCTCGCAGAGCCTCTCTGAGATGGGATCACCTCAGGTCGACGACTTCGTGGCTGCGATATGCTGGTACTTCGTTCTTCGTCTATTTCACGATTCTTTCTCCCTCGCAACAGTGCCCAAAGGCCAGCTCCTGCGGCTAGCGGACCCAACAATCCCGTTCCTCGTCCAGACTTGCGTTCCGATTCCGTAAACCCACCTTCAGAACGCCCATAATTCGTCAGGTCATCCCGGTCACGGTCACTTTCGTGTCGCCAACTGAGGATGAAGTATACTAGGAGCAAGAACCCCATCCACACGGCATATAAAACAAAGGTAAACAAGGGAGACCCATAAAGCGTAAGTCCAAGGGGAATTTGAACGATTCCCAAGATTGCAATCGCCCGACCTAGCCAGCGATGAAGCATGAGTCTAAACGACTTTCTTCGAATATTCTTCACTATGCGGCCCCCGATTATTTGAACCAGAATCATGACATATATGGCAAGTCCAATTCCATGATGGGGATTCGTTAGGCTTCGACTCGGGCCCACGGCAAACCAGCCGAGCACAAATACGACCGTACTAAGACCGACAGCAAGAATATTTAAATAAGCGTGTAGCCGAATAAGATGGCCATATGGCCTAAATCGCGCGTACATAACCGCAGCCGGAACGACGAAGAGGAACGTTATAACGGCAAGAATACCGTGGCCTGTTACCAATTGGTGATATTGTTCCACTGTTGCAAAGCGGTTGCCCATGCCTGGTAGAAGTTTAGATTTAATAAATATGACGGTAGTGAAAAGTATCGGCTTACCATTGAATCGCATAGTTTCGAAGTTTAGCCCGGCCAGATTTGGCAACAGGAAAGTATTCTTGGTGAAGTCCCAAGTCCCGTCTCCTACCACCATCGTGTCCGACGCATAGGTCGCCGACCCGGGCGCCGATAGCGCATCGGCCGACGCCATGGCCGCGGAAATGCTCGTCGGCGAACAGTTCAGTTAATGCTCCCAGAGACACCACGAGGGGAAATCGGTAGGAATGCGGAATGCCAGGTTCTTAAGGGCCTCGGAATGTATGGTTACCGGCAACCCAGAATATCGGGACAGATGGATATGTTCGAACTTGGGTATGAAGCGGTGAGTTATAGCGGCATATGAATGGCTAAAATTAGTTCTACCCTTTCTCATAAGTCGTCTCGTAGGCCGGAAAAGCACATCAAGCCGAAACTTTTTAAGAGGAAAGGAAAAAAAAGGTTGTTCTCCGTGGAAGGGAAACTAATCACAAAAAAAGAGACATCTTGAGAGGTTGGATGGCTTTAGTGACATGGCACTGAAGATAATTGGGGAAAGCTCCCGCCTTCAGCTGGCCCTGCGTTGTTTTCACCGTCGGGTTGCGGGGTGACGAGCATAACCCCTGCCTTCCTCGCCTTCCTTACCTTCCCACTCCCAACTTTTTCGTCCCCACTCTGGCAATCTGGTAACGGCATGTAACGAAGCAGGTACGTACAAGAATATACATATGTATGTACTTTGTAGATATCAACTAGCGTGCCGTCATAGGTACGGAACAACGGACTCGAAATTTACCGTTTCACAGTTATATGGACAGGTCCACTACGCCAGCTCGCCTGGCGCCTGCCCGCACAGCTCGGCCCAACTAGAGATATTATCAGGTACCCGAAGAGATCCAATCCAGATCACAAGCTTAACGGTTCCATGTGGAACCCAACTTTCTTGTTTAAGCTCAACTTCCATGTGTCATTTGCAATTATTCTCCTCAACCTCCTTTAGTCCGCCGACAATATGTTTTATGTTTCTTTTGCACAATCACTTCCCAACTATCTAGGTTAGCCTCTAGGTACCCATAGCTAGGAACCATGTCGACCGTTCGGTTACCGTTCCTCTACCCGCATTTCTTTCGGGCAGCCCGCTTCGGCGAGTCTTCAGCCCACCGAGCCAAGATCCGATGTCGCAAGTCTCCGAATAATAACCCACGCATGGTGGCATTCTCATCTTCCACCCCGTCCAGACAGGCTGTCTTCGAGAGGCATGGTAAAGCCGTCGAGCCATTACCTATTACACCTGACGTTGTAAACCTCCCCGCGCCAGGTGCGGATCCCGCGAAATCATCGAGCTTCTCGAATACGAAGCCGTCTAGTAAAGATGATGTAAACAAGGGGAAGGAAGCAGCGCAAAAACCTCAAGCTCCAGGGAGGAAAGTAGCAAAAGAATCAGATAATGGCGAGCCTCCTCCACCGAGAGCGTCCGCAGCCCCCGGCTCCTCGTCTTCGAGTCCTCAGCAAGCTGCGGCAGAAGCCAAGATGCAAGAAAGCGGTCCGATGGAAGCAGTGTTACATATGCCACCGCCCAGCAAATATCACCATCCCCATCTATCAGCTTCTCCTTACGTTCACCATTTTGACACTTACACGCTTGTGAAGCAGTTGGAAGAAGGTGGATATAGCACGGCGCAAGCTACTACACTCATGAAAGCTATTAGAGGACTACTAGCTCAGAATCTAGACGTCGCCCAAGATGGATTAGTGAGCAAAAGCGACGTGGACAACGTAGGCACAAGTTTCTAACTCGATCACACATTCGCTGCTAATAGACACGTATAGGAGACGTATTTGTTTCGCGCTGCGTGCTCGGAACTCAGTGCTGAGGTAAAGAACAACAAGAGGGCTGCCGACGAGACAACACGTCAGCAGCGAACTCAGTTACAGCACGAAGTTGATATTCTAAACCAGCGGATGACTCAGGATCTTATGACACTGAAGGATGATGTTAAGGGCATGTTCAACGACCGCCGGATGAACGTGAGAGAAGAGCAGAGGACGATGGAGAGCGTGGTATGTCTTCCGTTATCCAGAACCCACTGCTACACCCGCTAATCATCGTCTTCTAAAGATCCAACAGCTCAACCTAAAAATCAGCGTGACTCTCAATAGCGATTCCAGATCGGACATTGAGGGGCTACGTTGGGTGCTAATTCGTCGATCCGTCTTAGGTATAATTTTCATGGCAGTACTAACTCTAGGCACTCTGCGATACGCAACATATGTCAAGTACGAGAGGCAGAAGGAAGCAGAGGAAAAAGCTCGGCGTGCTGAAAGACAGAGGAATAGTCTAGGAAGAGAAGATCACGCCCCCCCTTTCGACGCAGCGGAAATTCTGGCGGCAAATTAAACTTTGATACCCATGGGAATAGAATAGACAGCGATGACAAAAGAACCATGGCTTTCTCTCGACCTATTACCGCGAATTATATTCACAGCAATTCCTTATCGAACGTGAAATCATACGTAAATCATAAACTCCCGAGGCCTATTCATACCTATTCATAAAGCTCAGCCGCCCAAAACGCCTTTGCGCAACCCAATGGAGTGTAGAGCAACACTACCCAGGTACCTAATTATGCAAGCCCAAATATTCTAATCACTATCGTTCTGAGTAGAGTCCCTTTCCGCGGCTTTTCTTAGCCTTTCCTCTTGCCGCTTCCAGTGGCTTCCCTCCTCGTAGTCCTTGCTTATCTTCAACGCGTTCCGTAACCGCTCGCTCTCCTTGATCTTCGCGTCGGCTAGTTCGTGAACTTGATGTGCCTTAAGTGGTTTCCTCGGTGCCGCACCCCTATCGCCCTTGTTCATCTTTGCTTGTAGTTCTTTTCGTAAGGCGTCGCAGCGCTTATCAATTTCATCCTCGTCAACTCTACGTACGCCGTATTAGTTAACGACCTAGGTAATAGCTCAAAGGCAAACTGGACGCGCAACTGATCAAACATACCCTTCGTCTTCTAACCGGTCGCGTAATTCGAAGACCTTTACTTCGACTTCGCGCTTACGATCGTGCTCTAAGATTTCCTTGTCTGGTTGACGTTGCCGATGCTTCAAGCTATCGAGGTCTTTGGTGTTGTAGGGGGCTGCTCGATCGCGCGGCTTGAGGTGTGCTAGGTTTCGCTGAACATATCCAGAAGTCCCACTTCCTCGGGGTGTTGAGAGTCCAACATTGTCAGACATGATTCCGCTGGCGTGTTGAAACGTAGTATGGGTGCAGATGGAGTTTATGTAGTTAATTGAAGCCGAATCTGAATAGGTACGTAGCTTGGGGAGCTAGTAGAGGAAGGAAGGCGGTAAAGAGTGGCGGAAACGGAATGGTGGGGTTCATTTACAATTTAAGTTAAGAGCTACCCTGAGGGTCGCAACTTTGCCCCGCTATACGACGCCCCGCCATAAGTATGAGTCTAACATGCATATAGTATGAGTCGTCGCAACGGAAGCAACTGTCAACCAACCCTGAGCTTAAAGATATAAATACCCAGGTACATTACGTAGACAGGCGATTATTTAGGTATTTATACTTGACATCACTTCCCTGCTAAAATCCCGTCCGTCTTCCAAAGTTATCCAAAGTCTACACATCCAATCTCCAAGCCGTTTTCTTCGCGGATTTTTTATTCCAAGAATATAAAATATGCCTGCACCTACTGCAGCACACTCTTCCTCGGAAACTGCAAGCTCGGCGTTGCAGTTCCCACCCATTACAAGAGATCATATAATCAACTGTTCATATGATTCTTGGTTTCCCAAGTGAGTAGAGAGTCATAGTAAATTACAGCTTAACGAATATATAACTTACAAACCAGTAGATATCGCATGTCATGCATCAAATCGCGTATCATACCCCTCTCATCCGAATTTATAGATTATATCCGCGAGGACGGTATTATCCTCGCCGATGATGATGCGGCTGAGCCAGAGGACGACGAATGGGAATCGGCACCATCAAGCTTCCGGCCACCCGTCGAGGAAGTTGACTCTGACTCTGATAGCGATGAGGATGAAGATGAAGATGAAGAACCCAGATTACCACCGAACCAGAGGTTTCCTGAGTTACACCAGGTGATCAAAGACAAGATCGCAGAACTAGGCGGCGCGGTAGCACCGAAATTGAACTGGACTGCACCAAAAGATGCGGCTTGGATATCACCCCACCAAAATACTATCAAGTGTACCAGTCCTAACGACATATATTTACTATTGAAGAGTTCGAATTTTATCACTTACGACTTGGAACACGCTTTCGACGATTGCACATCTACAAGCACTACTTCTACAGGCAATACACCAACTTTCAAGCCCGTGCTTGTGCTGCGCTCATACTTCAATCCCCACACAGCCATGGAATTTCGCTGTTTCGTGAAGCATAGGAACCTGATAGCCATCTCACAGCGCGACTTACACTTCTACGAGTTCCTGAAGTCGTTGCGATCCGACATCGTTGGACGGATCAGCCAGTTATTCAACCACAAACTACGGTACACGTTTCCGGATGGTAACTTCACGTTCGATGTGTACATCCCAGAAGGCGAGGACGAACCACTAAGTAGGGCGCGACTTATCGATATTAACGCCTGGGCTCCACACACAGACAGCCTACTCTTCGATTGGAAGGAGTTATTGGATATGGAGGTGCCTAGCCCAATGCTTGGAGCGGTCGGGGGGTTCGAAGAAGAGGCAGAGGCAGAAGATACGGACGAGACGTCGGGGGATGACGACGAAGACGACTTCGTACCAGAGTTACGACTTATCGAGAAGGAGGATCCTGCCGCATTCAACTTCAGCTCGCCACAGTACTCGGCGCACAAGCTGCCGAAGGACGTCGTCGACGCAAGCTTGGCCGGAGAGGGCGGCATGCGGGATTTCGCGCGAAAGTGGAGGGAGATGACAGAGTACAGAGAGAATATAGCGAATTGGGAGACGAACGATAAAAATTAGGTTACCTGGTGTAATAATATCAAATCTTGTATAAGTGGTCTTCTATAGTTGATATGCCTTTGGTGATATACTTTCGATAGCACTTATAGTTGCACATCTCTTACTCGGGGGGGGGGGGGGGGGGGGGGGGTGAAAAAACGGGGGGGGTGGGGTGAAAACAATTTAAAAAGCACCAAAAAAAAACAAAAAAAAAAACCCCCGGGTAAACGATATT